GCCATTGACTTCTCCGCCTCCATTATTGGGCATTGGTCATGACTACAACACTCCAAATAAAGAACCCGATGCAACCCCCCCTCCTCTTTTTCCTGCCCACAGTCTTCATTCACCGAATCTCTCTCATCTCACCCCTCTTCTTCCATCCACAGGTTCATTCCCTTCTCTCTCTCTCTCGTCCACGTGAATCTCGCCCTCCTTTGCTCTCAGCCCATAAAAAGATTCTATCAAATCCCAATTCTCCTCAATTTACTATAAATATAATATCTCCTCGAGTTGGTTGGATATCTTGTCTATCCATCCGGGTTGCGTTAGTTCCGAAGCGAGGCAGCCCCCACCCGCCTTCACGTGAAACCGGCCCCACATCCTGCCACGTGGGTATTAGCGTGACGTGTCATGCATCGAAGGAGAAGGGAAATGAAGCAAGGCAAAAAAATCTGAAAATATCTGGGAGGATCCCCCGGCGGAGACGCTAAGCTGTTTGTGTCCACAAGTCGGGGTACACGTGGCGACGATTTACGCCGTGTGGCATTTCGGACCGAGCTTAAATCGTATCCGCTCGTAGTTTAGCCGCCTAATTAGAGTCCGCGTCTCAAAGCTCCTCATAAATCAAATCTGGCCACCACCTTCTTTTTTTAAAAAAAAATAAATTAAAAGAGATATTACAGCTCCAAGTTGCATGATTTATTTCAGACCAAGGGATTCAACTTGCATGTTCATGTTGTCCCATCACGACTGTTTGATCTTTTTTGCACAAACAAAAAAAAGCTGTTTGACTTGAAAATTAATTATTCTTATCAATTTCTTGCTTTTAATTTTAATTGAAATTAAGCACAGACACAAATTTTGCTCTTTTTTTTTGTTTTTTTTTTTTTACGTTCAATCACCTCTATTTAGCACAGACACAGTTTTCACAAGATTTTATGTACTTTTATCATATATAAATTATAACTCGTTCAATCTTAAATGAATCAGATAATTGAAAGATTTGTTTTGATTTTTAACATAAAACATCCGTTCCCTTTATTGATTGTAGAAATGTTTTCACACGTGGTAATTTTTATTGCCAATTATTATAGGATATCTTGGTAAACTTTTATTTTATTTATTTATAACTAACTCAGGTAATTCACTTAACCTTCGTTAATTAATTATTTAATTTTTATATATAGTATTAGAGACACGTTTTCAGAGGATAAGAAGGTTGACAAAAAAGGTTGAATCAATTAAATATTATAAAAATCCCGCGTGTTGGAATATGATTGTTGGACAGGGGAAGGAAGGAGAGCCCTCTAATCTAAACTCCCACAAAAAGTAGCTTTAGTGATCAGATAAACTTTTTTTTTTTTTTCAATGTAACAATAGTAGTTAGATTGATGATTATATTCTAGACCCTTTGAAATATACTTGGAGTGTCTTATTAGGTTCACACCTAATAACGACTTTTTAATACCATACTGTTTTTTAATCTCCTCACATTAAAAATTGATTAAGTCGGTTGTTGATAAGATTCAGACCAACTTAAAAAAAAAAAAATTTAAAACACTAAGGGTCAAATCATTATCATATGAGTAATGAACTAATGCTATATAACGTGCTGTTTCTGTTATGAGACATTTAAATTAAGGTGATATATTTTTTTTTTTGAAAAAAACTACACTTGGAATTTTTGTAATTTCTCATCTAACAACGCGCTGTCAATTGAAATGACGATAGTGCCCACGAGCGTGTACAGAAGAATCTAGTAAATGAATGGCAGGGAAGCAATGTAATTACGCGGTGACGACGAGGGTCAAAGTCAGGATTCGGGGTATTTATTATACGGTATGGAAGAGAGGGGGGCAAAGAGGAAGACGAAGGCGAAGAAGGAAGGAAGACGGAATGGCGGATTGCGCGCTGTGCGGGAAGAGAGCGAGGATGTACTGTGAGTCGGACCAGGCTAAGCTATGCTGGCGCTGCGACGACAAGGTTCACGGCGCCAACTTTCTGGTGGCGAAGCACACCAGAGTTCTTCTCTGCCGTACCTGTCAGTCTTTCACTCCCTGGAAAGCCTGTGGTCCTAAGCTCACTCCGACTCACTCCATCTGTAACCACTGTGCCTCCGATTCCCACAAGCATCACCAGGAAGAAGATGATCGTGATGATCATCATCATGATCTCCGTGACAGTCCTGATCGTGAGGAGGAGGAGGAGCAGTATGATGCTGGAGATTCCAGTTCCGATGCTGACTCTGGTTATGAAGATGATGACGATGAAGACGAGGGAGAGGACGAGGAGGAGGAGGAGGAAGGAGAGAACCAGGTGGTTCCATGGTCTTGCGCTTCTGCTTCGGAGTCATCGCCGCCTCTTGCAAGTTCCGCTTCAGCTGGTTCTTCTTTGTCCTGGAAGCGGCGGCGATCGAGTGCGTTTGTCGATTCCGATGTAGGTTTTCATCTCTTCAAGGAATTGATCCAAATAGTTACTGTTAATGAAATCGATTTAGAACCTATCACAATTCTGGGTGGCCAAACAGGAACCGTTGTTAATTTCTTTTCTTCTTCGTTAATGCAGGATGAGATCGGCTGTTCTTCATCTGAAATGCCCTCTGCCGCGCAACTACCAGACGATGATTCATCTTCTTGGAGCATCCTCAGGCCATGGAAGCATCCTAGAACTACTCCGCAGAGCTAATAGCCTTTGTTTGAAGATGATGCACGATGAGGACAGAGCTGAACCGTTGATTTAGAGTCTCGACCCTACTAACTCCAATGTTTTTTCTTCCGACTCTATAGCTTCAACACTAGAAAGGTCTATATTCCCATTTGATTCTTTTAACAATGGATGAGCGATTCACCCTTTAAGAGATTCTGTCATTTGTTTAGGCATTTCATGAAACTGGCCTCAATGTATGGAATTATATTGTATTATGCTTGTAACTACGAGTTTTTTTTTTTTTTTCACAATGGATTGAATACCTTTGACTGCAATTTGACTTGTAATCATAGAAATTAAAATCTAAGACCTTGTCACTTTCGGATTCCACGGATGGATGGTTCATATACTGGCCAAGATCGGAGAGGAAGTTGCGGGGTTCATATTGGGACTTAGGCCTAAATAAAGTGCATATTAACGAGTTACAATGGAATTCAATGTAAACTTTGTTCAGATTAAAGTTGGCCCGGTTTTGTTGACTCTGTTTTGCCCTTAGCGTTTTCTTTCTTATCTCGGACTTATCTCTTTTGGAGGTTTGATTGGGGAGGGACAGAGTAGGAAATAGGTTACGGTGGTTCATAGTTGTTGAGACAAGTTGCATTTTTGTCAGGCAGCTCAATTCAGTGGGCATACTAATAGTTGGTGCAGAAACTAGAAGCAGCAAGGCGTTTTTTGGCAACTTGTTTTAAAATAAAATATAAAAAGATGTTGAAATTCCGGTACTAATTTTTGTTATTTATAAATATAATTTTATTAGAGATGATATTATTTGAGGTATCAGGAACTAAATGTGTACATACCTTCAAACTTAGGTTTGCACGGTAGATTTTGAGAAGTTTTGAGGAACAACTTGATAACAAATGCTTGAGCAATTAATCGGATTAACCCTTTGCATTGAGGATAACAAGCTTGATGAATATTAGAGGGGTTAAGTTGGGCAAATAAGAAAATTGCTTCTTCTTTTTTTCTGTTTTTAAAATTTTAAGAATAGGTATTAGTGACCTGAAATTACAAACGAGTTGAGAAATGCCTTCGCTTTCCATAGATTTATATCACATGACAGCGAGGACCAATATTGAAGTGCAGGGTTGGAGAAAGGGAGGAGAGAATGAAACAAGGTTACAAATACAACGGTGCTGTTTAATAATAGGTGTGTTTGGCTGAGTGTTTTGAAGCCTAAAAATAACTTCTTGATGTGATAAGCATGATTGTAAATTTTATGGGTGTTTAATGGGGCTTTTGGGCTATACTACTTATGACTCAAAAGTAAGATTGAATCTCACGAATTAATACACAGTTGAAACAATTATTACACAGTATCACATTTTCTCACTCTTTTCCTAACTTTATTCTCTCTCATTCTCTCATTATTCGAAAACCTTTCATGCTCTTTCTTATCATTAAAATAATGTTTTAAAATATATTTCGATGAAATTTTGCTTCTTCACATTAAAATAATTTAAATTTGGAAAAAATAGCAAAAAGACTGTCAAACTAGAAAAATTATAAATATAAAGACACATGACAATATTAGTATGGATTTTGATAACAATTTTTATAAACTAACCCCTGGGTGCAATTTTTCTATTTCAATAATCTTTTTTTGTGTGGCTATTTTCCCTTAAATTTATTATGTGTAAATTTATTTTCTTAATCATTTATCATTATTTAATAAAATTTATATTTTTTTATTATCTAATAAAACTCATACCTATTATAGTAATTATACAAACAAAACTTACTTTTATTCAATCATAATCCAAATAACATTTTACTCAATCTAACTTTTATAAAATTCAATTCAAACACAATTCACATTACCCAATTTAACTTTTATCTATCCTTTTTAAAAGTCAAATTGGCAACAAACTATTTTTGTAATCATTAATCCAAACAGACCCAATATTTCCCATTGTCCCCCATAAGCACGATTTATGCAGCTTAAGAAGTTACCACCTCCCATCGTTTCAAATTTAAGAAAAAAATATAATTCATTTTATAAGCTTCAATTTAAATTTTCTAATATTACCTTTAATTATTTCTTCCTAATCACATTTTCTCAAACATTTTTTCATCTTTTTTGTATATTTGAAAACAAAAATATATTTTTAACGTATTTATTGTTTTAACTAATTTTAATTAAATGTTTAAGATTAGTTATTTGGAGGTTATAATAAAAATGAGGAGTATAACTTTACACCCTCTTTTTGGTCTTTTTTTTTTTACCAGAATCTTTTTGGTCATTGAAAAGCTAAAATTAGCGAGGCAAAAACAGAAAAATCAACTTAGACTTGAGTTGAAACTCCACCTTTTTGTCATTTTCTTTATGCCCATTTAGATGTTTAAACGAGAGGCGTAGCTTTATACTTACAGATCGGAAATAAGAACCAGAAAACCAAAGGCAGGCAAGCTTGCCCAGCTACATGAAAGAGTATAAACCACATCAGAAAAGAAGCTACAACACTCTTTGGATGGCCTGAAGAACCGAGATCACATCAAGCCATAGAAGAACATCTCTAAAATCTTTCCAGTGTTCATAAGCAAGAAATGCTCCCAGTACAAAGAAACGTGGGCACCCGAGAACATAAATATCCCCATATCATTTTCTTGGCCAATCCCAGTTGGGATATGCATTCTGCAATTTAGTATACACAAAAGAAGAAAGTCAAGATACATGAAACCTATGAACCGATTTGATAGCAAGGCCCGTCAATAACCTGGGAGGGACCGCACGAAAGAAGAAAGGGTTTTAAACATCTAAATGGGCATAAAACAACAGACAGAAAAGGGAAACGCACACCTGTCCATGCAAAATAAAGCTCAACGTGGCCTCAGCTAATCTTCTGCATGAGTTAACAATTTACCAGTCAATTCCATGACCAGCTATTTCGCCATCATGTCCAGTTATAAAATACATGAACTAAATCATATAAATAATTCAACTCTGAGAACTCACGTCAGAAGGAAAAATAAAGCATTCTTACAAATAAAATCAAACACCACCTATAAAAATTTCTTCTTCATAGATGAACATCAAGGCTACATTTATCATCTTGAGTTTGCTTAAACATTCATAAGACAGCATCGACTTGTACAAAAGAAAACCACTGGAACACGATTAGCCATGCCTCAAAACAGTTATAAAGAGCTGGGGGCAGCTAAGACTTGTGAAACTCAACTTCCTCATCTTAAACAACGGTTAATTCACAAACTTATGACGCTACATGAGTTCAACTGGCCTAAGGTATACTGTTCCATGTCAAACTCAGATGCAACCATAAGTTTAACCAATCACTGGACTAGAGAGGCAAGAGATTCACATGTTAAACTGTGTTGAAAGAGATATATCGCATATTACAATAAAATACCCCCAAAATAAGATAGAGGTTTAGCAAGAATGTACAAAAAATGACAAACTCCAAGCATTAACAATTTTCATAAATTATAATGTCCATCATAAAAAAGAACAAAGAAAGAAAGAAATTTCAAATTTTAATCCAGTCAAGGGTACTATGAACCCTCAGCGTTTCCTCTTGTCAGTTTAGGGAGGGACCCTCCCACAGGCCTTTCAGGCGGATGAAAGATGGTGCCAGTAACTCAAAAGTCAAAAGTAATATGGCCATCTATTCAAAGAAAGTTTTTGGACTTTTATGCACTTTAGTTATTTTAGCACTTCAGTTATTTTATCAACGCATGGCTGCCAGCAAGTCAGCAACATCTACTTTGGAAGTGAATTTTTTTTCCCCTGACTAACGAATTGATAACTTTAATGCACTGTTTTATATAATTATTATGATTTAGTTTGATTTATATGTCAAACATAATCACAAGACTTCATCTTTAGTTCTTTACACCACATCTTTTAGCTTTTTTCCTCTTATTCCAGCACCTTGCTTCACTAAGGCAATTTTCAAGCTAGTCCTTCCTCGAGGAAGTGGGAGCATCTAACTCTTCAGGAGCGCCTTTCACATTTGACTAACTAGAATATAACTTACCATGATCATTTCAGTATCATACTCACTCCGGCCCTTAATACAAGACCTACTTTGTAAAGTATTAAACAAAATTTTCAATTAATAATTTTACTATTTAGTCTCCATGTGAAACAGCAAGTTGGAACAATTCATAAATAAGTTTTAACCAGCTTTCAGCAGCTCAACATTTTCCAGTTGAAAAGATGAATGAACAGATAAGCAAATCAGTTAGTCCCGCTTGTAATGCAATATTATGGTATAGACTCTTCAAATTTTCTGAACAATGATTTTGCTACTATGATATCCCAAAGAAATTGAAAAGTTCAATTTTAACTATAAATGATTTGTTGTCATTTTCACAAACTCCAACTTAACCAAGGAAAACTTCTTCCCTTAACGATTATGCTTAAAAATACAATGTAATCAATATCTGATGTCTCAATCAGGTAATCATAACATCAAATTCAGCTTCCAATGTCCAGGACAACAAACCATCATGCCATACGTCCATGCTAAGGCAACTCCACAATCTAGTTTTCCGGGTATGGAGATGAACTCTAAGCTCAGGGGCCCCATACCACTATAAACAAGCGTTGAATGGTCAATATGAATACCTAAATCTAAATCTAGTAATTGCTCAGTATGTAAAATCATTTTCTTAATTTTTGGCATTTACCAACCGTTGCAAAGAGAGATCCATATCACATGGAGCAGGGGTCCTATTTATAGAAAAGACCGATCGTTTTCTCAAATTTATAGGGAATGGCAAGTCAGACATATGATCTATGAGGGGCAAGCGCTCAGCTTATATTATAAGGAACCTAGTTACGACAAAAATAAACCTGACCAATTCATGAATGTTAAAGATGCATTAAAAAGCTGTGATCACAATAAGGGAACATGGCCTCTCAGATTCTCAATAGAAGATATTCATACTATTGCAGTTTTACTCATCTGACATGCAGCTTCCAAACTAACATCTCACCCAATATAGCATCCAGGCTGGTCCTCTATGCACGATGGCTTGGTTATGGTCACAACTACTACGTAGGAATGTATTCTTAGAATGATACAAACTCCATTCCTTGCGATGTTTCGCTTCTAATAGGATGATGATCATAAATCAGGATCAAATGAAAGAAAACCTCATAGCAGGTATATATTACCACAATTCAATCGCTAAATCAGTACTAAATTTACTCAAAATTTTATCCCTACCAAAGTGCCACCATCTATCAAGCGGGCAGAATCACCAACAAATCCGCATCAATAGCAAGCAAAACCCTACCTAGACTTTTAAACCCACAAGTGTCACCATCCACCAAGTTGATAAAATCAAAAGCAAATCTACATCGACAATAAGAAAAACCCTTGACAAGTTTTTCTCTGACAGCATAGCATGCCCTCTGCGTTCACACAACATAAGAATTTTAGCCATCCACCTATTTGTTTATTATACAGCACACTCCGTCTGGTTCATTCTACCTTGTAGCAATGTAAAATTCATCTATAAGCAAACTCAAGAATACCCACGAAAAGCACGTTGATTACGCCAGTCTATAAGTATAGATCTTAAGCTTCAAAAAATTTATATTCCTAATCACTAAAATTGTTCACTCCAAAAAAGATAAAACAAAGACAAAAACGACACTTGAAGAAGGAAAACAAAATATCATCCAAAAAACGCAATCAAAATAAAATGATAACATCACGAAAGGGCATTTGTGCATAAACACACGCATACCCAAGGTAAAATCCCGAACCTTTTTTATGTTCTTGTTGGACTGGCACCGTCTTGATTACTGCCTCATCCTCTTCCTCCACTTTCATTGCCACCACGGCAGTACCATCGCTCCCGGCACCATTTCCACCATCTTTATCATCAGGATACCGGACCACCACGACCGGACAAACGCAATGATGCACGCAGTAATCGCTAACGCTTCCAAGCCTTCCATCGCTGCCACGACGTAGCGCGCCGAACCCTCGACTACCCATGATCACGGCACTCAGCCCCAGCCTCTCCACCTCTAAGCATAAACGCTCCCTCATGTCATGATCCTTCACAATATGGATCTTATACGGAATCTGAGCATCCTTAAGCGGCCTGGCAAGATCAGCAGCCTTAGACGCTGTGAAAGCATCGAAATCATCCTCAAGCTTTCTCTTGGAGTGCTCATTGTTAGTGAGGTTACTGACGGCATTTTCCTCCGAGCTGGGATCGGTATTGATGGTAAGGTCGATGGCCCCCCAATCAGCACCGAACAGGACAGACGTAGGACTAACATGGAGGAGGATCACCGCATCCCCGGGGCGGATGTAGTTCTGGACGGCCCAGCGAACGGCGAAGGCACTCTCATCGGAGAGGTCAACAGCGACGCCAATTTTGCGGCGGGCACCGGCGGTTGGGGTGGGAGTGGCGGCGGAGAGAGCGGGGCTGTGGACACGAGGAGAGGAGGGGTGGTGGATTTTGATTTGTGGGAGTTGAGGTTCGGAATCGAGTGAAGGATTGTGCTGCTGGTGCTGCATTTTTCCCGTTTGCGTCTTACAAAAATGGTGAGAGAGAGAGAGAGAGAGAGAGAGAGATAGAGATTTCTAGACAAGCTCTGCCTCTGGTGCGCGCATAAGGGAAGGGGTGTGCTCGTTAAAGGATGTGGGCTTTGAAGAAACATTTTGGGCTATTATAATCGGGCCGGCGGAATTTAAATGGATAAGTTTCTTTATTCAAGTTCTGACGTGGCATATGTTGAGCACTTGTAAAATAAAACGAGTAGTTTACTAAATTGGCAGATCACTCTATCTCATTTTTTAAATTATCTTGGTTGGTTAGCGGATGAGAAATAATACTACAATTTCAGACCTTGCGAATTAATAATTATTTTATGTTCCTGATGCTTATAGAGGAAACGGTGGCCAAATTTTGAAAGGGGGCCAACAAGGGTTACTAGGTTTAAACCAACAACAACAACAACAAAACCTTATCCCACTAAGTGGGGTTGCCTACATAGATCGCACAATACCATTGAGTTTTATTCAAAGCCAAATCTTTTGATACATTGTTAATTGAAAGATTTGGCTTAATAACTTTATTAAGTGTTATCTTCGGCCTTCCTCTACTCTTTTTTAGAGGACTCAATATTGTTTGATCCGCTCTTCTCATTGGCACGTACCAAGGCCTTCTTTGCACGTGACCAAACCATCTCAGTCGGTTTTCTACCATTTTCTCATCAATCACAGCCACTCCAATTTTTCCTCGTATATGTTCGTTATGGATATTTTCTTTTCTTGTATGACCACACACCTATCTCAGCATTCTCATCTTGACAATTGCTACTTTATGTTCATGTTGTCCCTTTAAAGCCCAACACTCATTGCCATATAGCATTGTTGGTCTTATAGCAGTGTGGTAAAACTTTCCTTTAACCTTATTGAGTACTTTCTAATCACAGATAACTCCTATCGCTTTTCTCCATTTAAACCACCCAGCTTGAATTCTATGACTAACATTTCCATCAATTTCACCATCTTTTTGTATAATTGATCCCAAACGTTTAAACTTTTCTACTTGTGGAATGACTTGATCTCCCAATTTGACCTCCAAATCTATTCTAACCTGTCTCTTATCAAAAATGCAATACATATATTCTGTCTTGTTTCTATTTAAATGAAAACCCTTCAATTCCAAGGTTCTTCTCTATGTCTCAAGTTCAGCAGTAATCTCTTCTTTTGACTTGGTCAATAGATCTATATTATTAGCAAAAAGTATGCACTTATAGATTTCTTCTTTGATATGCTCAGTTAGAACATCGAGAACTAAGTTAAACAAATAAGGGCTCAACGATGATTCTTAATGTAGGCCAATCCTTATAAGAAAGTTCTTTGTCTCACCACCCAACATTCTAACACAAGCTGTGACCCCCTCATACATGTCTTGTATGATTTTGAAAAAAGCGACATGCACACATTTCTTCTCTAAGGCTCTTCAAAGCACTTCTTTAGGCACACGATCATAAGCTTTTTCTAAATCAATAAAAATCATATTCAAGTCTCTTCTATGGCTTCGGTACTTTTTCATTAACCCCTTTAGTAAATAAGTCACTTCTGTTGTCAATCTTCCTGGCATGAACCCAAATTGGTTTTCAGAAATACAAGTCTCCTATCTCAACTTATGTTCTATCACCTTCTCCCACAATTTCATGGTATGGCTCATGAGCTTATTCCCTCTATAAGTAGCACAATTCTAGATATCCCTTTTATTCTTATAAATAGGTACATAGTACTTTTTCTCCAATCATTAGGCATTTTCTTAGAGTGTAATATCTCATTGAATAACTTAGTAAGCCACAACACACTACCTTTACCCAAACATTTTCAAACTTCAATAGGAATACCATCAAGTCTAATTGCTTTATTATTTTTCATTTTCTTGAGAGCTTCCTTAACTTCACCAACTCGAATTCTTTGATAAAAAACTAAATTATGTTCCTCTTATCCAATTGTCAAATCTTCAAACTAATAAGTCAATCCTTCGCCCTCATTGTTAAGTAGCTTATAAAAGTAGGCTTCCCATCGATCATTAATATCACCATCAATAATTTTTGTACATCTTACTTAGTCCAAATCTCTTGTTTTTCTTTCTTCATTCTTTGTAATCTTGTAAATCTTGCATTTTCGAGCCTTAGTCCCTAAATCTTTTTAGAACTTCTCAAAAGCTTTAGAACGAGTTTCACCAACTGCTCTCCTAGTCTCTTTTTTACCTAAACGGTACATTTCCCAATTTTTAACATTATCACACAAATGTATGGCTTTAAAACAATCTCTCTTATGCTTGATTTTCTCTTGCACATGCTTATTTCACTACCATGTCTCCTTATCTTGCCAACCATGACCATTCAATTCACCCAAAATTGTTTTAGCAGCCTTTTGGACCTTATTAGTTATTTCCGTCCACATAAGATTAGCATTTCCTTATAGCTCCCAAACCTCTTCTTTTAAAAGAGTCCTTTTGAAAGTCTTTCACTTCTCTCCCTTTAACTACCACCATTTGACCCTTGGAATTGACACTTGTTAGCGCTTTCATTTTATACACTTAATATGCACATCAAAGACGAGTACCCTATGTTGTGATGTCATGCCATCTCTAAGAATCACTTTACAATTTGTGTAGAGTTTTCTATTAAGATTTCTTACCAGAAAAAAATCAATTTGTGACCTAGACTTATAAGTGATTAAATGCTCCTCTCGCTTCTTAAAGCAAGTGTTAACAATCTTGAAGTTGTACATGAGGGAGAAATCAATAATAGTTTGCCCTTCATTATTTCGCACTCCAAAACTCATACCACCGTGAGTCCTTGCATATTGTCCCACTTCTTTATCAACATATCTATTAAGATCACTGCTAATAAAAATCTTTTCCATGAGTAGTATGCTTTGAATCAAACCCTCCATATTCGTCCAAAATTTTTCCTTAAGATGGTCTTCTATCCCTACTTGAGGTGCATAAGCACTAACCACATTAATAATATCCCTTCCCACAATTATTCTTAAAGAAATAATTATACCTTCTATCCTTTTGACTTTCACTATATTCTTTTTCCATTCATTATTGACGATAATACTAGTGCCATTCCTTATGCCTACCTTTCCCGTGGACCAACGTTTATATCCATTAGTAAATTTAAAAGCCTTCTCTCCAACGTATTTAGTTTTTTTGGAGGCACAAAATATTAATCTAGGTTTATACCAGTTCCATAAAAATTTACATTTCAAAACTACCCCAACCACTTAAATTATGGGAGCTCTTGTCCCTCATACTTATTACCTTAAAATGCTTTCCTTCTCAATCAAACATATATCCCATGTATTACACAGAGTTTCACAGAAAAGTGATAAAATATTTTTAAAAAGAATATTTTCTCCTTGTCCAACTCAGCTCAAATTCGTGCTCTTCTTGATTTTAATGAAGGACCTATTTAATAAATTTAATTAGATTAAGAGACCTATTAAGAGAGTACTAATAGAGATGATTTGGGAATAAAATGATAAATATAAAAAATAGATTTTACATTTAAAATTAAAATTAACTCTCTAATTAGATACTACAACAACACGAGGGGAGTATTAGTCAAAAATCTAAATATCTAATCATCTGAATGGCATTGAAATTTTCCCGTGAGTAAAATTCACGAGAATGTATCATCTTAAAAAGAGAAAAGAAAGCTTGAAAGTTGAAGCAATAAAACATTATTACTCGCGAGACATACATAAAAGGCGGGCAACATGTTTTAATATTTAATGATTAGCCAGCAACATAGATTTATGTACTTTGAGAGATCTCCAGCAAGCGGTGGACGTGCCGGAGTGGTTATCGGGCATGACTAGAAATCATGTGGGCTCTGCCCGCGCAGGTTCGAATCCTGCCGTCCACGCTTTTTTTTTCACGTTCCATAGTCTCTTCACCAATAATGAGTTGTGTTGTAATTAGTTAACACTATTCGTTAAAACAATGCACTTCAAGTACTGTTTTAGTTTATGAGTTTCTTAGAGAAAGTAATGTTTATACTGTCTTATATAAAACAGAGTCTTGAAGCTCAAACGTGTGATAGCATATCACTGAAATGGCTCTGCCAACTTCATGCATCAGAACATTCATAGCGAACATAATTTTTCAGGAGGGGGAAATTGAAGGCTTTACAGAAACTGATGGCTCACAGAATAATGAGGTAAAAATTCACGAGTAAAACACAATAACACATGTTCAAGTGAAATGCCACAAAGACCTACCCCAGCCCTAGCGCTCACTGATACCTTATGTGATAAGAGGATGCGTAAAAGCTATATATATACATATATATTTGGGGGGGGGGGGGGGAGATTGCAGCAGTAAAGAGGAAGAGCAGAGAGAGAGAGAGAAGGAAGAAGAACGAAAGGGATAGGTAGGAGAAGAGAGACAAAAAGTAAAGAAGATTGCCAAAAGTATAATGGCAGGGCAGAGAGTAAAAGAAAAGCAAAAGCTGACCTCTTTCTAACACAGCACTCTCATCCCATTCCCTCCCTAGCTCATATATCTCCCTTTCAGTAACGTGGCCCTGGACTAAAGTACCCCCCCTTTCCTCCCTCTTCTTCCCTATCCAAATTACACCTAGCCAGCTAGCTAATTGCATCTCCTCTAATCTATGTACAAGCTGTTTAGAGAGTTTTAATTCCAAATACAAGACTTTAATCCATTTGTTCTCTCATATTTATCAATTTTATCCAAACTTATTTGTGTAATTCATGGACTGATATATGCAAAGTTGTTTAACTTATATAAATTGATACTGACATACAACACTACCATAATGTTACATCTGGTCATCTAATAATTTTAGGGAGAGATTATATGTCCATTTTGTTAGAATTAAGCCATCTATTTAATTTTCCTAATATTCCCATATTAATTAAATACTTTAATAGAATGGGTGGAGTATCATTTACAAACATATATATTCCTTTCCTTCATCAATACTAATTAACAAAATAGAGCCATGAAATTTTAGCTTCACACCAAAAAAAATATTTCAAACATAAAATGAGTAATAGAAAACGGTTTAGGACTTGTTTGAATAAATTACACTGCTGATAGCTTAGATTAATGCAATCTAATAATACAATCTAAAGTTGACAATCATCATGAAACATGGAAAAACAGTATTTTTATGTTGAAGGTAATGGGAAACGGAGGGAGTGTGTGTGATGAAATAAATAAAGAGATAATTAATTAATAAATCACTTCTAAACGTAAATAAAACTAAAAATAATTCAGATGATAATGTCAATCCTTGTATTTATCAAAAATGCATACAATCAAGATTGAGTGCCGAGGAATGGCAAGTCGCAATTCGTTCAATTCAGATATTTAAATGCATGCATGCCTTTTAATTTGGAATCACTAATTTTCGATTTTAGATATGTAAGATCATTTAACACACGCGTAGGTTATCGTAATCAAAACTCAAAACACCCTTTAGAAAAGAAAACGGTTTATTATGTACTCATAATGCTGCTCACTATTATCTTTGGAAGTACACGAACCCTAGCTAGAGAGAGAATGTTTGAAAACAGTAAATGAGAATTTTAAGTATTATTAAGCAGGGGAAAGAAGACTCTCTTTTAAGTTTTGACAATACATAATGCTCCTATTTTGTCACCAAAAAATGAAAAAATAAATAAATAAAAGAGCTCTCATTTTCAAAATAAAAAGTAGCCAGCCTTGTGTAGTTAATGCTAATTAAATCGAAGAGAGTTTAATATATAAAATGTCCGAATTCTGATACAGCAGTGTTTTTCTGTGGTCTCTCCTACACAAAGACAAAGTTTTGGGAGTTCAGAAAAACCCTTAGTGATGGATCATTTTCAAGTTTTTTTTGGAGGACTCTCCAAAGGCATTACTCTGAGCTCTATATAGGGCAAGACAGAGATACCTCCCATGTGTTTCAGCACATAAAAGACGTAAACCTAACTCCAGAACAGAAAAAACTTTCACCTTCATTCTGTTAAAGTATTAAAAGTCGCCTGCAACTTCTTGCCTTTCCAGTCAGAAACAACAGCTCCAGCTGCTAAGCTATCCTAGGGTTTTGTTTTGAACCCCTCAACTCCATTTGTTCTTCTCTTCTCTTTAATTTTCTTCCTTATACTTCGTTTTGCAGTTAAGCATCTCATACTTAAACCACACACTAGAACTGAAAAATGAATAACTTGTGAAATCAATCCACCAGAGTGATCGATATATACTGTGATATATATATGTATTCATCGAACATGTTAATGCGCTTTAGAATGAGAGAGAGAGAGAGAGAGAGAGAGAGAGAGGGATTTGATTTTCCCAAGAAGGAGATGCATAGGGCTGTTTGGAAGAGTATTAGTTTAACAACAAAAGGAAATTACACAGAAAAAGGTTGTACTATTGGAGGGGTTCGGTGTTTTTCCTGCGTCTTACATATGCATATTACAGATCACTGCTCTCAAAAAACAACAGAACAAAAAGGACTCATGGGCTCTGATTCTCTATTGCTTTTATATGCCTGAAAGGCTCTGATAATTAAAGCTTGAGAGACAGATCAACAGAATTAGAAGCAGCTGCAGAAGCATCTGCATTCCCATTAAGAGCTCTAGCTGATAGCGCTGCAGTAATAGAAGAAGAAGAATAAGCTGCTTCGCCCCCTACTAAAGATAATTCCAGTTCCTTGGAAGCAGTGCCTCTCGCATTCTCTTTTCCCGGGAAAAACTCATATTCCATCAAAATTTTCCCACTCGTCGACCCTGCCTTCCTGTGAACCGCCACAACTCCCACAGACTACAAATAAATCAAAACCCGTTGTTATTGCTTCTCAGAAGACGGCGAACATTGTATATACTACTGTGCTGTGTTGAAACAATACGATGGAAAAAGGGTAAATATAGATATATATACATATACACACACACCTCATCAAGATTGGGATAAGAATAAGCATTGAGAGTAGACATTCTGGTGCTGAAATCAGTGGTTCCGGCAGGGAGGTTGGGGCATTGTTGGGGAGCGAACCTCAGAAAATGATCCGGGCCATTGATCATGGACCATATATCTAAAGAACTGTCTCTCCTTGTATTTGATCCTCTAACGATATTGTCGTCGGCGAAACGCTTTTTCTGGACAAATCACAACAGCAAAAACATTTAAAAAAACAACCTAGGAAGAAAAGCCGACAAATCAGAGGAATAAAAACATTAAAAAAAACAAGCTATGAACGTGTCTCGAATCCTGCAAGTTTAAAACAATCAGACCCATATATATAAAGCTAAACTATACGAGTACCTTGAAGCAAATATCACAGGGCTGAGATTCAGAATAAGGATTTGGCATTGAAGAGAGCTCTCTCGAGGTCTCCACAGGGCATCCGACCAAGGGACTCCAAGCCGGAGCTCCGAATCCATACGAGTACCCTCCACCACCAACACCAAGCACATTGAACGCAGCATTATTGGCCGCAGTCCCAACGGTCGGACCCTGACCCGACCCACCAGGGATTACGGCGGTGCCATTTAACATACATGGCGGAGGAGGAGGGCAATGAAGCGGTCCATGGTTAGTGGATGCACCGTAACGCAGAGGAGGACTGGCGGCGAAGGAGTCATTGACGGTGGGGAACGATGGAGAGAGATGAAGTGGTGTTATTACAGCTGAAGACGATGACCTCTGCATCTGGTTCATCTCTTGAACCCTGAGAATACTTTCAAGCTGAGCCACACCCATACCTCTCTGGGGTTGCTTCTTCTGATTCGGACCCTTTCCATTATTACCGGCCTTCCTTCCTCTGCTGCTTTTGGAGGGTTCCGTCTTGGGTGGTTCTTCCTCGGACAAACCAAAAAGAGCAGGAGGCGGTTTCATGGTCTTGTTTTTGTCGGAGGCCATGAGAAGAAGCGAAGCAGCCATGGCCGTGTGCGTGTTGAGAAATGAATGAAACAGTGAAAGAATCAACTGGGGGTGGGTTTTAAACGACAAGAGAGAGACACAGAGATGGAATTAAAGGTCTCAGTATTATATATGCTACTGGGTGTTTTGTATTTGTTGATTGATTTAAATTTAATTGGGTCTGTAAATATTAATTTTGTTTTCTTCTTTGTTGGTAGGTCCACCCTACTGTGATGTTGTTCCACACATGTTGCCACTTTGAGGTATAAATGGGGAAGGGTTTTGATGGAAGGGGGAAGGCAGGCGCGAGCTTAGCACATACTAGCTTAATTATTGTTGCTGTGATGGTGTTTGTGTGTGTGTACGATACGCCCCAGAAGCGCGTTTGGAGCACGCTCCTTTTCTCCTTTTTGCTTCCTCTCTAAATATTCAGTCTCGTCCCAAGAGATTCATGTCATTTACTTAATTTTTCTTTTAAAATAAAAAAACTAATTCCTCTCCTCATCACATGAACTCGAACATGTGGTACGGTGATAGATATTGTTGATCCAACCCATAAATATGAATAACGAATGACAAAGTTAAATTGAATTCCTCGTGTTTAAGAGATCAAGGTTTTGTCGGATTTGTTGGTCGGGTCTTCCTTACAAGTTTTGCACCTAACGCCCTTACCTTCGCTACTTATAATCAAGTTCTATACCGTATGAATCTAACACACATATGTTGACTGCTCATTACTTTTATGAGTACTCTAAACTCATCAGATCTAGATTGTTCATATTTCATTTGGATAATCCGGATTTGATTTTTTATTTGTTCAAAATAATTATTTTAATATATAGAATCTAAAATAAAGATAATCTCTTAACTATCATTTTAAAAAATATTTTTCTATTTAAAAATAATTAATTAAAAATTTAAATCAATACGATTTAAATCAGATATAGATAGTTCAAATTTGATGAGTTTAGGGGTGATAAGCACTAAAGTTGGTTTCTACGTATATGTACTGCTGAGATTATAAGCGGAATTAAATTCATGAACTCTTAGTTACAAGAGAATCAAAACTAATACTATGAATTAAGCAGGGGGACAATAATGAATGAGCTAGAAGGTGGAGAGGGTGATGACACGTGTCAGGAGTGGGAGTAGTGGCCGGGGGGACCAAAGAGCAGCATAATGCATGGTGGTGGCAAAAGAAAGCTTTTTGATTGTAGTAGACACTATGTGTCAGAATTATCCAAAGAAGCTAACAAATCATGAGGCTAATTAAAAATATATATATATATATATATATATATATTCACGTTGAGAAAGCAGCTAGCGAGGGACGTTGGTTATGGCATGGCAGTGGGAGTGTTTGTGCGGCTTGAACTCGCACATCAAACGCAGCTTCTCACGGATATCACTCAGAGTTGTTAACAGTAAAATATGTGTGAGTCCTAAACAAGAAAAGAAAGGCAGCTAGAGAGGAATACGATGGTGGTTAGGCAATGATATATATATATATATAGGGGGAGTGAGATTTTGTGGTCAATGGAAGAAGAGAATCTGCCCTATGGAATAGCCTCGCAATGATGCCTGTTTCTTTCTTCTTCAGAAAAAGCTTCCTCTTCTCTCCAGATTATACATGAGTAGGTGTGGAAGCAAAGTGGTAGTATGTTATACTCATATACTAATATGGGCATGCAATGATTAAATATGGATGCCAATATTATTATTTTTGTTTCCTTCATATGTATGTATATTTGTGGGATGCACATGCATTTCAGTATTTCAAAACAAACACGCAAATCCCATGCCACCACCTTCATTTTTAGTGTTATTTGGGATTGAACCTCCCAAACCGCGTGACCCCCCAATTTTGATGATGATGAGCAAAGAAACTAAGATGATCCAAATGAGAGCGATTATTGGCTCACCAATCAAATCCCATCATTCATAACAATGGACACACACACACATGCATATATATATATATGGGTGTGGGATGACAATACTATCTTTGATCCTTAATATAAGATCCTGTTTGACTTTTATTTTGTCATAAATATAAGACCTCAATCCACTTTGTCTCTCATATTTATATTTTTTTTTCAAAATAACCCTTCTAACAATGATAGTACTAGTCAATACACTTGATTAGTAAGGATATTTTAGGAAAGACAACACCTATTTAGGACAAATAACTAACTCAATTTACTTCTTTAATTTCCTCAAATTAGTTAACTGGTTCTTATAATTAAGACCGGAGGTAGTATGCTTATTTATCATTATGGTGATATATATGGATTTGTTATTATTTTGCATTTGAGAAGGGGAAACTTGTTATGTGGAGTGACGGCGGAGTCTGGAAAAGAAGAGGAGAGACGGAGGGGGAGGGAGTAGCGCCGGTGGTTGCAGCGCATAGGAAGGGGCCACCAGTGGTCCCCGTGGCTAGAGGGGGAGTGGGGTGGCTTCTTCCTGTGTGGCCGACCGTACAGGATTGGGGCGGCTGAGAGAGAGAGAGAGAGAGGCGTGGCACGTGGGAGAGACGCGTGTAAGGTAGGATTGGGGTTGCTGTGTTTGGAGAGACACGGTGGATTCTAAGATGCCTGGAGCCCGGATTGTGCTCTGCATGGAATGATTGCCGTTTGTGAGCCTTTGCGGCTCCCCTGGACCACACCTCTCTCGCCGCCCTCCTCATTCCTCAAATGCCATCCATCCATTTACCTTCTAATCCAGCCTTGTTTCTTTCTTATATGTCATGTTTGTTTCGCCAATTCTCTGAGGTTTATGATTTATGAGTGGTGCTGTCTATTGTAACTTTTATACCTCATATAGTAGTACTCCTCCGGTCCTAATTATAAGACCCAATTGACTTATTTGAGGAGATTAAGGAAGTAAGTTAAGTTGGTTATTTATAATAAATAAGTGTTGTTATTCCTAAAATATCTTTGCTAATTAAGTATATTAGCTAAAACTATCATTATTAGAAGGATTATCTTGGAAAAAATGCATAAATATAAAAGAGAAAATGGATGGGTCTTATAATTAGGACCAATAAAAAGTCAAATTGGGTCTTATAATAAGGACCGGAGGAGTATGAATGTATGGTCAGTTTTGGATAAGACGTGGATCCACGTTTTAAATTTAAAATAAACTGTAACCTAAGCAGTGGAAATCCGTAAATAACATGGGTCATGAATTTGATATCATATATTCCTCTTGTTCTAAATATAAGACCCACTTCATAACACTACAAAGTGGGTCTTATATTTAGAACAAGAGGAGTACATATACTACCTCCAATCCTTAATATCAAATCTAGCTAACTAATTTTGAGAGATTAAAAAAATTAGTTAAGTTAGTTATTTGTAATAAATAGGTATTGTCTTTCTTAGAATATCCCTATCAATCATATATATTAGCTAAAACTATTATTTAACTAAATATTTAACATGTGTAACTATTACAAGAATTATCTTGAGAAAAAATGAATAAACATGATAGATAAAATAGATTTGAGTCTTGTAACTAGAACCAAATTAAAAATTAAACAAACTTTTGTATTAAAGGCAGAAGGTAGTATATATAGATTATGTGGGATGGGTGATTACGCTATACTTAAATAAAACATGCCTAATTAGTTCCTGTCGTCTAGCGGCAGAAGGAGGGATTCAACCCAAAGCTCATTTTCTCTGTAATTCATCTGGACTTTTGGTTCAAGTAATTTAGATTTAATATTTTTAATTATTTATTTTTTAAATAAAACATTTTAAAAAATAATAATTAAGAGATTGTTTTATTTTATTTCTCTTAAAATAATTATTTAAAAATAAAAAAATCTAAACCGTTCAGACAAATCTAAAGTAAGGGAATTAGGGACAGGCGGAGGGAAGGAGAACTGGGGAGACAATAAATATAAATAGAGCAACTGTAACGCTTGGCTTTATTGCAACTGAGGAAGGACCATCCCCATTTTTGGTACAAAATAGCAACACCCACTCACGCTCTCACTGGATCCCAGTCTCCATCTCTCCTCCTCTTTAATTAGCGTCATTAATGGTTAGTTAATTACATGTTTCCATAATGGAGAGTGAGACAGACACAGAGGTCCCGGAAGGAGTAAGGACCACCGCAGAGGAACCCTCCCTCCGTGCCCCGCAGTGGCAGTCCCAGATGCATGATATGTGTCATTATTTAGATCTGAATCTGAACTAGGATTTCCTCTGCCCTCATCCCCCCCACTTCAATTCCCCATTTTACCCCCACCCACCACCCCAATTTTCCCCCAACAAGATCTTCATGAAAGAAACACAGATCCACCTTACTTCAAGTTCAAGGCCTCCGGATTCTTCTCCTCTTTCCTTCAACCCAAAATCCAGTAATGCTACTTTTAACCCTATTTATAAGAGTTCATTTTGATTGCAAATATAGCATCTTAATTCTTTTTTTTTTAATTTATAAATTTATGAGAGTAAAAATTAAAGAGTATGAGAGATTACTTCAGAAAAATTAATACATATTTATTACAAATTTCAAATTTATAAATTAATTATCTCACTTTTATATTTAAAAGTAAAGGGAGCATAAATAACATACTCAATTATGGGTAGCCCATAATGTTAACTTTATCAAATAGAGAAACAAAATGCATCTTCAGTCTTTAATATAAGACATATTTAACTAATTTGATTAGATTAAGAAATTTAGGTAAATTAGTTAATTATAAAAATATGATATATTTTTCCTAAAACACTATAATCATCTTTCTCAATATTCTCCCTTTCTCTTCTACTTAATTATGGTTGAGGGAGTATCCGTAGGGTTAATTTAGAAAAAATTGATAAATATAAGAAATAGGTGTTATATTTAGGATCAAAATTAACTCAACAATTAGTTCTTATATTAAGGACCGGATGAGTAATATATTTAGTAAAAAAAAAATAATGGTTTCATATAGGCACTAAATTACACCAGACTTCATATAACTTTGAATCATGTACAGATAATTTCTTACTTTTTAAAAATAAAAACAG